TGTCAGAGAAAACTGTGTTCCATAGGGTTTTCAAGGCTGTGACCTTTCGGAAGCAGATCACCAGGCCTGTCTTCTGAGGCACCTCTGGGTAGGTTTGAAACGCCAACCTTTTGGATGATAGCAGAGTGCTTAAAAATGACAATATAAACCCATTCCTATTGTCATGGAGTCAATTCCAATGCATGATGACCCCATGTGTTACAGAGTAGAACTGCCTCATAGGGTTTTCTTGGCTGTGATCTCTACGGAAGCAGATCACCAGGTTTTCTTTCCACACTGCTGGGTGGGTCAGAATTGCCAACCTTCAGATTAGCAGTTGAGTGCAATGTGTTAATGTCCATTTAAAATAAAACACAGTCACCAATGTTCTGACCCTGAGGCAAGGCTTTTTCATTGACAAACTTCTACTGGAGTTGTACTTCATTTTCCTTATATTAGCATGTTGTTGTTGTTGTTATGTGCCACCTGACTCATAGCGACCCCTCCTTGGGTTTCCGAGGCAGTAAAGTAGATTGCCCCATCTTCCTTCCGAGGAGTGGCTGGTGGGTTCGAACCACCAGCCTTCTGGTTAGCAGTCAAGTGCTTTAGGCACTATGCTAGCCTTACATAAACCAACCTAAGAGTTCCACTTTTTGGTTTCTTTAAAGTGGAGTGAGAACTTAGACACTTTGAATGGAAATGTAGACTCCTCGAGAATCCCTTCCAAGTCCTTTACAGCAATCTAGTTCTCATCTAGGAGCTCTGGTGGCATAGTGCCTAAGGCATTAGACTGCTAACCAGAAGGCTGGTGGGTTCCTCCAAAGGAAGGTTGGGCAATCTACTTCTGTAGCGGTATCGCCTCAGAAATCCAAGGAAGGGTCGCTATGAGTCAGATCTGTGTGTGTGTGTGTGTGTGTGTGTTCACATCTAACTCTGTGGCATTTTGAGGAGGAGGTCGCAACTCACCTCCTATCAGTTCTTTCCAAAGCATTCAACTTAGTTTTCAGAGACTCATTTTACAATCGTATTTCATTGGCTTAAGGAATAGTTAATTAAATGGCATCATTACAATATAAATATACAATATAAACTGGGAAGTGCTTCATTCTGTCGCTATGAGTTGGAGTTGACTCGACGTCACCTAATAACATAAAGCACATTGGCATAAACAGGTTTTGGGACACATGTAACTGACTGCTAGTCAAGAAGCAGTAAATACTATAAGGAGCCCTGGTGGCACAATGGTTATGTATTTGGCTGCTAACCAAAAGGCTGGCAGTTCAATCCCACCAGCCACTCTGTGGGACAGAGATGTGACCGTCTGCTTCCATGAAGATTTACAGTCTTGGAAACCCTATGGGTCAGTTCTGCCCTACAGGGTCAACTGCGAGACGGAACTGACTCAACAGGAGTGGGTTTAGGCATACTACTCTTGCCCACTAGTTTTTGGGTGTCACAATGTATTGGACAAGATGTTCAAAAGAAAGAATGTTGTTGCCAGTTGCCCTTGACTTGTTTCTGCCTGATGGTGATCCCATGTATGCAGAACAGAACTGCTTCTTAGGGTGTTCAAGGCTGTGAGTTTTCAGAAGCAGATCATCAGGCCTTTCTTCCAAGGCACCTCTGTGTGCATTCAAACCACGAACCCTTGAGTTAGTAGTCAGGCTAGTGCTTAACCATGGTGGAGTGTTCTTGCAGACGGATTCCCTCCCACATTCACCTCTGATGTGTTTATCCTTGTTAGCGCTATCCTGACTGCTGTGAAGGACCAGACCGCAAGACTGGAAATATCCATGAGTCCATTTCTCATAGCTGATGATGATGTTCTCCCTTTGCTGAGCTTAAGCCTTGTTATGGATTGAGTTGTGTCTTCCCAAAGTATGTATCCGAATCCTAACCCCTATACCTGTGGATGTAATACTATTTGGAAGAAGGTTTCTCTGTTATGTTAACAAGGCACTGTCAGTGGGTATGTCTTAAACCTACTGACTTCTGAGACATAAAAAGAACAGATGAGAAGAAAGCATACACAAACAGGGTAAAATTAGACATCATGTGGAGACTTCCAAGGAACCAAGGACTGCCAGAGCCACAGCAGCTAATACAAGGCTCTTCCCCCAGAGTTGACAGAACCTTCTTCTAGAGCTGGTGTCCTGAACTTGAACTTCTAACTTCCTGAACTGTTAAATTTGTTTTTTTAAAGCCACCCACTTGTGGTATTTTTATTACAGTAGCACCAAGAAACTAACACAAAGTTGAGCAATGAATGCCAGGTCATTTGAAATCAAGAATTTATGAAACACCTTTCATTTACAGAGGCCTTGGCTCAAAGCTGTCGAAAAATGTTCTCGAGGACATTATACTCTATTTGAAAATACTTACATGTAACAACTACCACGTACCAAGATTTACCACGTACCAAGAATAACAGACATTTCAGTACATACATCCTTTCATTCTGATCTACTATCATTTACTTACTACACATATTACACTGTTTACTTTCCACAACAGCCTTGTGAGGTAGTTTATTACTATCTCCATTTTCAGCTCAGGAAATTGAGGCACTGAGCGGTTAGGAGGCTAGACTTGTGCTACACAGCTAGAAAATACTAGCACCTGGAACATTCTGTAGGGATTCAATTCAACCCATTGTTGTTGATTCCAAGTCATGGCAACCCCATATGTTACAGAGTAGAACCGCTCCATAGAGTTTTCTTGGCTGTAATCTTTATGGAAGCAGATCACCAGGCCTTTCTTCTGTGGCACTGCTGGGTGATTTTGGACCCCCAATCTTTAGATTAGTGTTGTTGTTGTTGTTATGTGCCGTCAAGTCGTAGCCACCCCTCCTTGGGTTTCCGAGGCAGTATCACTACGGAAGTAGATGGCCCCATCTTCCTTCCGAGGAGTGGTCAGTGGGTTTGAACCACCAGCCTTCTGGTTAGCAGTCAAGTGCCTTAGGCACTATGCTACCAGAGCTCCTTTAGGTTAGTAGACTAGTGCAAATTGTACTACCAAGAAAGAGCTTAATCCAGAGGATCTTGACTCTCTGATTATCCTCACAGATCTTTTCCTTAACATTTCCCAACTTCTCTCTTTCAGAAATAAACTCCATTCTGACTGATTCCAGCCTTTAGGTGACCCAGCCACAAATCAAGGTAGGAAGAAATATACAATCAAATTTCTGAAAATCAGCCTTTTAATCTATTTGAACTCAATGAGCGTGGGGAAAGTACTAAGACATTTTTTCCCTTGAGACTTTTTTAATAAGAGTAACAGATCAGAGGTGTCTCTTCCATAGGAAACTGACATCCCCTATGTCCTCAGAGTTTTTTTTTAAAAAAAACCAAAACACGTAGAAATGGAATCTCAACTCATGTGCATGCCACGCATTCCCCCACTCCACCCCTCCCGCCCCACCCTTTGCAGGCGCACATACTCACACACAAAATGTAGGACTCTCTTCAGTAACAGGGGAACAGAATGTAAAAAAAAAAAAAAAAAAATCAACTCAAGTGGCTACAGACACCAGAAATAACTGAATGCAATTAATACTCACAACATCAATCAACTCCTATGTAAAAGAGGAAGCTTTCTAATTGGAATCCAGGGCCAAACATTACAAATGTCAGGGACTTGAGCTACCCATATAGATCATTAAAAAATCCTTCCACTGGACAGCCCCCCTGAATTACAAAAGTATGCAAACCATTTCAATATAAATGGAAAACGGGTGGGCAGCTCCCGCCCTAGGATGGGAGGGCAGAGCTACAATTCCCAGGGTGGGATTCCTGCCTGGAGCACTGCCTCCAGAACTAAACTGGAAGGATGAAAGGGAGCAGCAGGGTGGGGACCTACCTCAGGGGCAAGTGGGAGGCTCTGGGGCTGCTCTGGGGCTGCCCTGGGCCTGGGAACACATCGATGCATGACCAGCAGGGATGCAGGGGCAAGTGGGCCATACCTGGGCTGCAGAGAGGTCCGAGTGCTAGTCCACAGATGGGACAGGGACGTCTGCTCTGCTTCCCCCACCTAAGGCCTTGGGACCATTGGCATCTGTCTGTCTGGGAGAGGCTGAAACATGATTATTTTAGGGTCACAGAGAAAGAGGCTTCCTGTCTGGATGTAAGTACACACAAAACGACTGTGTCTAATTCTCAAAGTGACTTCCAAGTCTCACAACCCCTACCTCCACCAGTGCAGATCCCAACAGAGAGGTGGGGTGGACCTGGCAGTGGGAACCAGTCCCTCTGCTAAGAGATGCTGTTGCCACACAGCAATGGGCTGAGGCACATTGGTGGGGGACTTGGGGGAACAACAGGGACAACGGGAACTTATGACCTGCCCAGTGACTGACTGCTGGGCAGATCTGAATCTCCATTGCTGCTGCCAGACAACTGGATGTCTGTTTCTTGGAAGGAAAGGAGACAGGCAGGGATGAGGGACTTGAGGCCTGGGATCTGGGCTGGGCAGGAAGGGACAGAGCAGAAGAGAAAGTTCCATCTACAGTGCCAGCTCCCAGGGCATTGCCTGGGGAGTACCATCCTCTATTGAAGGCACCAGGTAGGCAGTACCTGTGGGCAGCCTGGTCCAAAGCTCAGAGTCTGGTGCCTCTGGGGCCAGTTGGCTGCCCAGGGGAGAAACCAAATGATTAGTATATCCAAAGGGTGGGGGCTACAAGACTGTCAAAGCCTGGCTGAGAGCTGATCGAGAGGGTTCTAAGCTGTTGCCACAAGAGGAAAGGGAATGCAGTCTTCCCAGGGGTGGTCCCCAATATCCCTGAGCCCCCTCTTGCCTGACTCTGGTCTTGGGGCTCCCCAGGAAAGGAGCACCACAACTTTAGGCAGTAGAATTTTTCTCAAATCAAATATGGGGAAAAGAGGTAGCTCAAAACCTCCACCCCTCACACCTCCCACCACCTTGGGATACAGCCAAATTTGGGGCCCAACAGAGCAGGTGGCACAGGGTGCTTGATACTGGGCTGGGGGCCTCTTTGCGTCCTTGTCCACCAGGCCAGGTGGGCATCAGTGCATCTTGCCCAGCTGGATCTTCTTCCAGGCCTCGGAGGCTGTGAAGATGCACGAGTCCAGGATGCCGGCGACAGTGAAGGTCCCACCGATGATGGCACAGATCTGCAAGGGGTGTGTGTGTCAGAGGTTAGTGCTGGGGAAGGTACCAGGCCAGGCCCCTCCCAAATCCCCGAGGTGGTGAGTTTTGCAAGTGCAGGAACCATTCTGCTTACCACATGCTAACCAACAGGGTCTGGGCATACTTAGGGCTCAAAAAAATTCTTGAGATGGCTCAAGAATTCACCACCGGATGATGAATCTAATGGCAGTAAAAGTAACCATCCCTGGTGATGCAATTGTTAAGTGGTCAGCTGCTAACTGAGAGAGTGATGGTTCAAACTCACCAACTGCTCTGCAGGAAAAAGATGAGACAGTCTGCTTCTATAAATTTATAGCCTTGGAAGCTCTACGGGGGCAGTTCTACTCTGTCCTATAGGACTGCAATGAGTTGGAATCAATTTGATGGCAATGGGTTTCATTTTATTTCCAGAAAAGTAACCATCTTGCGCCAGAAGAAGTCCTTTAATAGGTTTTTTCCTTTTTTGAATGTAGTTGTTGATTTGTTATTTATATTAGGTGAGCCAAGATTATATAACTTTTGATGACCTATTGTATTTTTAAATGATGTGTGCTTTTTTACTTAGAGAAATATGTCTCTTTTTGCACTAAAATTGGGTGTTATACAATAAATTAGTGAATACAAAAAAAGAGAATCCGTCATTAACCTCAGCTCATTTAATTCCCATATTAACCTTGTGAATGAGGAAGGGGGTTATCAGACCCATTTCACAGGTGAGGAAACTGAGGCTTAGTCAGGTAACTTACATAGTACGTAGCAGAGCTGCAACTTGAACTCAGGTGTATCTTGGTCTGAAGCCTCTCATGTTAACCACTATTTTAAATTGATCAGATATTTACAGCCCCATTTGCAGATGAAGGAATGGGGGTGCTGAAAGGTGGTGCCACTGGTCCAACACCATACAGCCTGGAAGTGGTGATGCTAACGCTTGAACCTGGGACTAACAGATCCAGACCCAGAGTTGCCTGTGAGCAAGATGTGGGGTGGGTTGAACAGAAGGCATTGCCCTGGACAGACTACAGCTAGAAAGAAATCTTATTTCACTCTTAGAAGCTTGGAGTAAATCAGTGGGATGGTTTAGGAAGGACCAGAAGAAAGTCAAAGGGAAAATGCACTTGTGTGTTTGGGGAGAGGAGGTATGAGAGGGGGCCAACAAACATTCTTGGAACATACTACAAGTACCAGACCTTGAGCTAGGTCCAGGACCTACAAAGTAAATACACATACACACATGCACACACACACCATGAGCCTGCTCATGGAACTCGTGAGTCAGGCCAGGCAGACAGGTAATAATCAAATAATCATAACAAAAAATTACAACCAAGGCAAGTGCTACAAAGGAGAGAGAGGTCTAAGGTGCTATGACAGAGCCTATATTAGGGCAGGTTTCTCATGGCACTATTGACATTTGAGGCCAGATAATCCTCTCTTGTTGGGGGCTGTCCTGTGCAATGTAGGGTGTTTAGTAACATCCCCAGCTTCTTCCCATGAGAAGCCAGTAGAACACCCTTCCGTATTGTGACAACCAACAGTGTCCATAGACTCTATCAATTGTCCTCTGGACGTCAAAATCGTCCCCATTTGAGAACTGCTATACATCTGTATGTCTGTACTTCTTAACTTTCAACTTTATCATAACGTAATAATAACCACAACAAAATAAACAATGCTTACACAGCACCCTCTCTGTCCCAGGCATGGTTTGAAGTGTTTTATGCATGCTAACTCTCTGAACCTTCACGTCAACCCTAACCAGTTGCCAGAGTTGCCTCTAAATCATAGGGACCCTCTGTGTCAGAGTAGAACTAGGCTCCATACAGTTTTCATTTTTTAAAAAATTATTTATTTATTTATTTATTTATGTTGAGAATATACATAGCAAAATATATACCAATTCAACAGTTCTACAAGTACAAGCCATTGACATAGATTGCATCCTTTAAGTTGTGCAACCATTCTCACTTTTCTTTTCTGAGTTGTTTCTCCTCTATTAACATAAACTCACTGCCCCCTAAAGTGCCTATCTAATCTTTCGAGTTGCTGTTGCCAATTTGATCCCATAACATAGCTCTTAAAAGAGCATACTGCTCAAGGTAGATATTTTTTTACTAGTTAAGCTAACCCATTGTTTGGTTTTAAGAAGACTTCAGAGGTAATTTTGGTTTAAGGTTTAAAGGTGATCTCAGGGCAATCGTTTTGGGTTCCATAGGGTTCTGAACACCTAATTCCTCAGAAGTGGATCACTAGGTCCTTTTTTGAAACTCTATGAAGCACAGTTCTACTCTGACACGCATGGGGTCACCGTGAGTGGGAGTCAACAGGATGACAACTTGTGTTCTAGAGTCCCCGGGGTGGTGCAAACAGCAACATGCATCGCTGCTAACAGAAAGGTTAGAGGCAACTCTCTCAATGACAACAAGGACTAGACGAAGCCACACTTAGGCAGCTCAGAGGGTCCGTGAGGTGCTGCCAGCCCCGAAAGCACCAGGTATCTCTGAGTGCACAGCTAGTCATTGACTCACAAATGCTGAGGACTCTGGGAGATGAAGCCCTGCCATGGGCACTCTGCTGCCAAATGGTGGGAGGCCAGGAGACACCGTGAAGGCGGGAGGGAAGTGTGAATCGAGCCGGCATTTATTTTTAAAATGGTATTTCCAAGAGATGAGCTAAGCAGAGGTCTGTGAGGCCCAAGACAGACAGAGCAGGTCTGTATGGCGGGGTTTTAAGTGGAGCAGCTGGTGTTCCAGTAACAACAGCCCAAGAAACCGGAGCAGCCCTCCAGGGAGTGAAGAGGATGGGGGGCGCTGGAGGGATTATTATTAAGTGTTTTAAGAGGGCAAGGCCTCTCCCTGCTAGCCTCAGAGTATGACGCAGGGGCACTTTTCAGGGACGATGACGGCAGGGGAGCTGGTTTTATTTCGGTAGAGTGGATCAGATGATGGGAGATTTTATACCGCAGAATGCTTTTAGACCTTGCATCAGAGGGTAGGAAAATGTGACTTAAGTGCAGCAGAGCAAAAAATAAAAACCAACCCCCCCCCAACATCTGTATTCATCTACACACGCTTTGGAACCCGAGAGCCTATGACTCACATACACCTGGCACCCGGTTTGAAGCCTCCTTTCATGGGGTTGCCTCACAGCAGAGGGAGACAACACGTGCATTGAGGTGCAGAAGAAAACACATAGCCTGGGGGGAAACCAAGGTCTTCAGAGCACGGAAGCTGCTAAGCTACTGACCCAAAGTTGCAGAGTGGGTTTCTGTCATTCTTCAGGCTGAGGGGGAGCCCTGCGGTTAGCTCCAATGTGTCAAGTACCTATTGATGTTTCCTGAATCTCCCCCTATTATCGTGCATCTACTGAGGGCTGGACATTGGTCAACTGAGGTGTATGTGTGAAATTCTAGAACATTCCAGGGAATTCTTCAAAACCTGAGAAAAATGCTGCCATGATTCCCATATTTTCACTATTTTAATCTTTTAACCTGTGAAGGCTTCCCTGACATGCTCATATCAGAGGGTGGTGACAGATACGAGGTAAGGCAGGGGTGAGTAGAGAAGGCTACTGGGGCCTCTTGGCCTGTGGAGCTCCCTGGATTTTGACATACCACCAGCACCACGGGTTTACTACACCCTGCTCATCCAGAGAAGCCGTCATCGGTCATAGTGTCCCTCACTGTGAGGTGGCTATGGTTCCTGTGTCTGAAACCTGGGAAAGTGTTGCCACAAGGCTTCACCAGATGGCATTCTGGTCTTTGGATTCAGAACCAACATTGGTGGTGGAGAGTTAAGAGGCTTCGTGACATTTATTATTTCTTCTTTGAATTAAACAATCAGACTTTACAAAGCTGAGAGAAATGCTGAGTGGGTCTCAAGGACAGACTGGAGAAAAGGAATGAAAATAAAGCAAACTACAACCCATGGCACTGAATTTCCATAGCTTATTGCTCTTCACAGGAGTCCCTGGAGTGTACAAATGGGTAACACACTTGGTTAGTAACCAAAAGGATTGAGGTTTGATTCTATGCAGAGATGCTTCAGAAGAAAGGCGGGAGATTTACTTCTGAAAAATCGGTCACTGAAATCTCTATCAATCACAGTTCCACTCTGACATACATGGTCACCATGAGTTGAAATCAACAGTGCCTGGGTTTTGGCCTAAGGCATCTGGTTCAAAACCACCAGCCACTCCTCAAAAGGAAGATTGGGCAGTCTACTTCCATACAGATACTGCCTCGGAGACCCAAGGAGGGGTTGCTGTGAGTTGGGATCAACTCAAAGGCCACTGTTTTTTTTTTTTTTTTCCCCACACATAAGAGTTGGGAGGGCTATGTGGTGCAGAAGGAGAGGAAGGGAGGTGTGTCCTTCCTTGCTGTATATGGTCAAGGTAGACACTAACACAGGGTGTGGGCAAGGTGAGGACTGTGGAGTCTACTGGGGCCTTCCCTGCTGAGGCAGCAGATAGAGCTCTGTGTTTGGAGGTTGGCAGGCAGGCCTGAGTCTGAGTTGTGGCTGTCACTTACTAACTCTGGCCTTGGGAGTGCTCCATAACCTTTCTAGGCCTCAGTTTCCTCATTTACAAAAAGGGAAAAATCACCTTTACTGTGCTGGATTACTGCACTTAGCTGTTAGCAGGTGCTCAGTAAATGATACCTGGTCTCATCTTTTGACTGACCTTAATGCTCCAACCTAAGAGCTGGAATTTCCTTCATCTCTCTGAGACCCACTGCGGTGTAGTAAATTACTTAGTGTGGCTTTTCTACCCATAAGTCTTTGTAAACTCCAAGGTGGGATTTTCTATGAGCAACTGAGGAGCTCCTGATTGCTGAAGTTGTCCACCTGGAGTATTTCTGTTGGAAGTGGCACAAAACAATGTTCTGGGAGGTGGCCACTTTCTCTCAGGTGCTTAGAGTTCTGATGCTATGATTGGCTAATTTGACCACCCTGCTGGGCTCAAAAGGAGGTCTCCTAGAGGCAGAACT